AGCAGGCAATGTATCTCATGACTGAATGAATAGATTTCTCTCTCATCATGACTAGATCCAGAAAGGGCAAAAGTATTTATGACTAGAGTATAAGGCTATGACATTAAAACACGTATTATGGTATGCTGGTGACAAGAGTTCCAAAATAAACCAAACTAAACCAAAAAAAAAAAACCCAACCCACAAAACCAAACAAACCCAAAGCCTCAGAAGACAAAAAGGACAATAGGCAAAGTAACAACATTCTGCTTAACATTGAAGAAGCACCTTCACTCAGTTCAAACAAAGTATTCAAATATTTGATTTTGCAAAGCACTCTCAGGAAAAGGTAATGTAATCTCCCACTTAACCTTCACAAAGCTGCTTTAGTTACATTCCAGGCTTTAGCATAATTTCACCAGTAAGGCCAGCAATGCAATTCCATTGGCCCTGCACCCCTGTCTACAGTAATTTAATGCAGCGTTCACCACCTGCACCTGCTGCAGGAAAATGGCAATAATTCCTTAACACCACGTAAGTCACAGAATTTCCCCAGAAACACGGGGAAAGACGTTGGCAAGACACCACCGGCACCCCCTCCGAGGGACCGATTCTGCCATTAATGCACACATGCAGCTGCCAACGGCTTCAAGGGGGGCGCCTGGTCCAGGTAACTGGACAGAGCAAATAAAGTGAAGAAACCCAATTCACTGGCAGCTTCACAGCAGCTCTTCGTTCCAGAGCCTCTAGAAGAGGCCTTTGTCTCAGGGACAACAATCTGAAGTGGTTTCAGATGGACATGATTGAGTTACTCGAATGGGGACAGCAAATTCAATGCAGCTCCGAAAGGCACTTCAGGTAGGACAGTCATTAACTCCTGCCCGCTGAAACGACCCAGAAGCAGCCTGCTGGCCGCGCTGCCCACGCTGCCCTTTCCACCTAAGGCAAGTTTAGTGGACAGCTCGCTTCCATGCACTGCTTCCCTCACACGACTTTAATGTAGCCACTTACACTAGCATAAGGCGTTACTACAAAGCCAGAAGGCTCAACAGCTTCCACCCCCCCAGCAGAAGGGGAAGAGGGTTACCTTACCGTACGGTAACAGCCTGCACACTGGGTTACTTGTTTCACTGGGCTGAATATGCTCTCATGGTGTCATCATGCAACTTATTTTAAAATGCCTTAACTCTACAAGGTCAATCTCTGGCTTAACAGACAAACACAGACAACACAGACAGTGCCCTCACAAACTGCTAGGCCACTGTGTCTTTTGAGAGATACAGTAAATTTCTATTTTGGATGAAGATCGTGTAAAAGAAATTTCGTTTGATGTCAAGGCTGCCTTGCATAATTACTCAAAAATAGCCCATCCAGCCACTCAGCTAAGTCGCAATCAAAGCCATCAGTTATCACAAAAAGCACCTTCATATCAGTAACTGCTCACCCCTATGAAACTCAGTCTGAGTTTGAAATGTATTAGGACTAATTTTATCATGTAGCTGATTCTATTCACGCTGGTGATCCACTGTTTTCAAACAATCAAGTATTGTTCCCATCAGTATTTTACATTAGTGTAACGGATCATTGCTCTCCCACCACCCCACCCTGCCCCCCAAAAAAACATAAATTCCCACAACTGCTCAAAAAAACCCCAACTAACAGCCATACCGTGAAACAAATACACTATTTAAAAAACAAATGGATGACAGTCCAACAGTTTGCGGGATTCAAAACTGACTCTACAAAGTACTTGTCTACATTGTAGAAAGGATTTCCTTTTATTTGGAAAACAAGCAATTGTAAATCAGGTATTGGAGAGAAGGGATATAAACAACCTTTAGATGGTCTTGCCTACTGTTGAAGGATTAAAACCGTAAATAAAAAGGTACCAAGCCCTCAGAGTTCACCGTTCACGTGAAGCTTCTTCTGTCTCTTTCTTGACCTTTTTAAAAACCATGTTCATTTCTGGGAAAGGAAGGGAGAAGAAAATAAAAAAGTTATTTAGGAAAAAGCCCAGCAGTTATTTCTTATTCTGACATTATACAGAGTGCTCAATTTTGGCTCAAGAAAGCCTTGAACTCAACCAAAAGTGTCAAACTTGCTTATAAACTGCGTGGTACTGTGGCAGTAGAGGACGAGATTGTGTATAAACTTGGAGAAGGTCCCTGAACTAAATGGATGAAGTGCACTTACAGTTACCAAATGGAAAAGGGAAAACAGGATTTCTGAGGTCTTTAAAAACACAGGGGGAAAGATGACAAAAGGCTTTAGATTAGAATCCAAAAGAAGCTAACGACTAAAGACACCTTAAACTCAAAGGTATTCCTTTGCTGTATTCACAGCCCATTCACCGAAGTTATCAGATAGACTTACTAGCTAATAACCTATATATATTTATATTCAGTTGTCTAATTGCAAGAACCAAATTATAAGATAATTAAAATATAACAAAAAGAATCTACAGATTCCCCTCCCAGCAAAAGCAAGGACTTAATTTTTACTGGGATGACAACAATACTATACCAACTGCTCATACCACAGAGGCACAGCAGTGACTGCTCATCACATCTTTTATGAGGCTGAGCATGAGATTAAGTTTTCTTTGAATCTCTTTAGATGCACACAAATCCTCATCATCAGCCAGGAGCAAAGATCGCTTTTAAAAGACATGGGAAGTTCAGACCACAGTTGCTACTCATCCTTTGCAGAATTTCAGTCTCCTGAATAACAGACTTCCAACTTAGGTCTACCAAGCTAATGTTCCATGTTGTTTTGAAAGGGCAGACACAGATGCAACTCAACCAAAACTAGCTTCTGGAATTTAAATGTGCTAAGAGGTATAAATTACATGCATTTTGGGCATTAGAAAGTCCTTCCTATAGTTCTTCTTACAACAGGTTTTGTGTACATTTTCTCCGAACACCACAACTCCGGGTTGAATACACATACTCACTCCTGAATATACGTACCTGGCTTCGCATGGAAGTCTCTTTACATCTTCTCATCTGAAACTTTTCTGCTGTTGCATCAGCCCCACATTTTCATATACTCTAGCACTATCTTCTCTCATTCTGAAACAAAACAAGTATTTACAATCTGAACAATTTTGTTTGAGAAAACAGTATCGGTACACACACACTATAATTCAGTGCCAATTTATTTTGCTCCATTTATTTTAAGAGCAAAGCACAGGGCAACAGTCTAGGGCAGATTCTGTGACAACCCATTCTCATTCAAGGTCCCTGAAGATTAGTTAGCACAGTTCAAAACTTACACGCTAACAACAGAAGCAAACTTACTCTGGACACGTTGGGGTTGGGGTACACGGTGGAAGAGGGCTCTGATCCCCGCTTGTCTGGTCCGATAAAGAATATTTAATGTTTGTGTATTCGTGACCTTTTCTCTTACTCTTCTATGAAGTAAAACACAACAAAAAGCCAGGTTTTGAATTACTAACAGAAAACAATCATCGAGGCAGTGCAGAAATTACATGTGTAACTAGCCATGATTTTAGAAGTAGGGTTTGTCTAGGAGGAGGAGAGAGCTCAATTCTGTAGGTAACACACATAACACAGGTAAGACCTAAAGGTTGGCTCTAGCTATTGGTTACAAGACCCCAAAGCCTCACTTTTCAATATTCCCTGTTCCACCACCATCTCCAGCAGAATATACCAACCTTATGAACCAGCACTCGTACGCAATCTTCATCTTCCTTGGCAGAAGAAACCACACTTCATTCTTTAATAGACAGTACCAGCCCGTGGGCTTCCCACTGACCTTATTTCCAGCTTGGAGATGTGGCCAAATGAGTAACAATGTTGTTTGCAAGATCTCTAATAAAATAACATCTTAGCCCATTAGGTTCGATATAAAAAGAAGCCAAGCTGTTATTTGTATTCTGCAGCATATGTTACAAGCTGCAGCCAATTGTGCTGGCATTCATCTACAGATACTGAAGGCTCCAGCAAGCAACGCTACGCTAGGAAAGAAAAGGGATACAGCTTGCTTCCTTTTCAAGACAAACATTCACAACCCATGCAGACACTACATACAAATTAAAGCCTCACTTTAAAGTTTCACACGGTACTGGGGTTTGGGGGGGGGCGGGGTGGGTTTGGGTTTTTTTTCCTCTAAATGCTCAAACAGTTCTAAATAACTGGCCTGAATCAATCTCACAACAGAGGCTGTCAGTCAGGGCCTCTGGGGAGCTCTGGCTGCTGAGTTTCCCTTCAGAATGCTTGGTGCAGCAATGTAGGCTGAAGTTTTTCCAAGATGGCCTTCTGAGACTTGCTCAAAACTTGCTCAGCTTGTTCTGTTATTTTACTGAGCTTCTCCCCTCTCAGCCTCCTACTTACTCTTGACAAATCCCTTTCAGACGACCAGTCCAGATCAATTACCTGGGAGGCAAATGCTAAAAAATAAGATTTAAACAAAATGCAAAGAATCTGCTGCATTCTACAGTGTAACGGCTACAAGCCCCTCGCCTGCCAATAATATTCTGAAGCCCAAAACTAGGGCTTGATTTCCCCCCCCGAACTGGTGAGGAACAGCAGTTCAAGTTACAGACGTACTGTACAGTAAAAGCAACTTCAAAAGAATCAGTCAGTTCTTCTATTACTTAAGCTGACTGAAACAGCTGAAACAAGTCAAGAAAAAGTAGGTATCTGGCTGCTTCTTCCTTCTGCTTAATTCACCGTAATTATCCTTTCTAATTCAGAATAACAGAAATGTAGCAAGAACTACTTGTTTCCTAGATGTGAGAGAACATACACATTTCCACAGGTGAGGGAAAAAACCAAACAGACAAAAAACCAAACCTAAATCAAATTCACTTTGCTTCACTGTTTTTTTTTTCCCCCCTCACTTTCACTGTTTGCAACTGCAATTAAAGCAAGTGTAGAGAAGAAGTTTCCAGAAGATAAAGTTTCTCAAAACACAGAATTTTATTCCCAAATTATCTCAGTGGGGTGAAATTCCAGCATTCGGCATAGTATTTACTACTTAAGACAATTTTTTTCTGCTCTATCCAAACATGCTTTGCAGCATTCACAATTCACCACATTTTTACCCAGGACATTAGTTCCTACAGTCACCACAAATCCCTGCTTTTGCCTGAGCAGTTCTATATGGTTTTATTCCTATAGCTGCCACTAGCCCTAGGTATAGGTCAAGACCTCTTGAAGTGAAGCGATGTTCGATTTCTTAAACTTTTCCCCCCGTGCCCTCCGAGCTAGTAACGGAACAGAGGATCAAACACAACTAACTGAGCTTCATCACTACAGGAGAAATACACTGCTCCACTCAGTATCAAAATACTGTTCAAAAGCCATTACAACGATCAAGGGAGTGTTACAGCCCTGCTTTGCAAACGGCAGCAGCAGCAAGAGACCATGTGCAGAACACCGAGGGTACAAGGCTTGTGTAATTACACACACAGAGATACGAGGCAGCTCTAAGGTGAAGTGAGAGAACAAAGCCAGGGAAAAAAAAAAAAGTACACCTGAGGGATTTCTTGTTCTTCACTTTGTGTCTAGTCACCCTCAGAGCACACAACAGCTGTCCTAGGGAGAGGAATAAAGTCTCTCTCCTCTCTGCTGAACACGGCATCCCCATCGTGGAGGCAAATATAAACTAAGCTCTGCCACACTCCAAAGCAGCCAGAGCCACACGAGAGTGCCAAGCCTGAGCTGGCACACGCTCTCTCTCTAAACAGGGGTTACATCTCACACCTGGCACTGCGCTAACCATGCAGCTCCCCACATCTGCCCGAGCAGCTGGGGGGCGTTATCTCCTTCTGAGCAGCAAGCCCGCTGCAGAAGGACAGACACTGAAATTCTGAAACAAACAGATAAGAACCGGAGATGACCAGAGGTTAGGGCAGAGAATGAAAGCAATGTCAGTTCTTTATTACAAAACGAGCCAACTTCTGTAAAAAACTGTAGAATTTGAGTGCAATGAAGTATTTAAACAGGAATAGAGAGGTGAAGGTCTTGTGGTTGTCACCACATGCCCCACAATTTCTCTCATCTTACCACACCAAATCACTCCTCTAACTGCTTTGTGTTGGACACTGTGCTGCAAGATCACTACGTTCATTCCTTAATCTTTCAGTCCAACATACTTACCCCTTGCTAATAAACATGTACTTTAAGACTCCTAAATTGGTATTAAGGCTGACTAGCACTTGATTATCATACTTCAGAAATACAGTTAACAGACTTGAAATCTCTTCAAAATTCAACAGAGCACAAGGTTCTGTATTAATTCACAGAGACTTATCTTTTATTCTTCTTGCACAGAAAACTAGTAATATCAGGGGAATTTGAGATCTGGGGTGCAGGGACTGGGGGACAGGGAGGACAGGATCCCATACACACAAGCATTTCTATGGAAGGTAAACATGGCTGCAGTCCTGTGGAGAAGCCTCTCAGACCAACGATTTTCTTTCTCTGCCAGTGGCCAAACGCACTGGTTTTATGTCACAGTTTTCCAATGCCACCTGATAGTTTAAGTAATTCTTAAGCATAACGAATAACTGAAATACAGGCTAACTCCTCTGAACAGCGCTAACAGGTTACAGACCCAGCCTCCTCACCACACACTGGTCATACAGTCAGCAGTCACGCCTCCAAGAGTCACAAGCAGCAAACAAGCAACGCTGCTCCCTGTTCCAATGACAGCACGTTCCTACGTGACACTTCATATTCAGGACAAAGGTACCTGCTCCTCCTCAATTCTGCGCTGTAGCGTTTCAATGTAGTGCTGTACTGCCATGTAAATAAACCTGTACTGTGCTTCTGTCTGCACCATTCCTGACCGCTGCGATCTCACCATCTGAATGGTCTTTGGAACATCAATATCACAGTCCACACCTAGGAAGAACCATCATCATGTTAAGAACAGTAAAATAAACTTTGTCTCTGGAGGAGAGACTGGGCTCACCTTCCAGCAGAACACAGCACACTTCAGTGACAAGCAAGACTGCTGACATTTAACACAGAGGACTCATCCCTGACTACTAATACACAGGTCTGTAGAACTGTGGCATGGAAAGTCGTCCTGGAGGAGAGAACTTCACGCTGTTCCAAGATGACTTTAAATGCAACCTAGCTCAACACACATGCTGAGTTAGTGTTTATGGCAGTTTATACACCAATACAACACCCTTCTCTGAAAGCAAGTTACTCAAATTCAGCATGTGGGAATACCTGGACAACCACACGCTCATGAATGATTTGAAAAGAAAAACAGAAAAATAAATTATACAAATAGAAATAAGAAAAACATACTCAGACTCCTGGCTCACCCTCAGCTGAAAGTTTTCATTGTGCTGAGCTGCAGCAGGGTTTCAGCACTTTGATTCCATCTAAGTCAAGAGGAATGAGCAAGTCCCTTCTGTGCCAAACACGCCTGGTTTGTAGCACCGTTAGCATCCCGTATTCTATCAACACTCCTGTTGTTTTACTGGGATGTGTCTCAATGTCCCACAGGAAAATAAAGGGGGACGCACACCTACCTTTTTCTCTGATTATGTCAATAAGAATATCAATCACAATGAAAGTTCCCGTTCGCCCGATCCCAGCACTGTGAAAAGAGAACAGGGCAGGGGAGGGGAAAGAGTTAATCGTTTTTCTGAAGACACCAAAACACCAGTTCAAATAAGAGTCTCACGCTTAGAGACATTAAGTTTCTAGTTCTTTTGGCTGTGTGGCTTGTCTAACCAACTTAACCTGGAAGAGACAGAAGTCGTAACAGCACTTCTGTACCTCAGCATTTATTAGCATCCTCAAATCAGAAAAAAACCTGCAAGGTCAGATCTAACATTTCCTTCCCTTACAAAAAGTACCTCCTTCACAAGCCAAAACTGAGGAGAGAGCGCGCACAGGAGGTGGGATGGGAGACTAGAATTTCCATGATCCTGCACCTGAAATGTATCTAGCCAAGACCGGTACCACTACCTCGTACAACATCCGAAATTCTTATTTATACAGACATGCACACTCTGAAAGACAGCCTCTTCGAAGGTAACCATCTGACACCTATCTAGAATACATCATTTTGCAAAACAGAAAGTACAAACACCTTGACAGATCAAAGTCTCAGTAGCTCTTGGGGAAAGTTGTCTTGTTTTAAAGTTTTCATCTCTCCCCACTACAAAACAAAAAGAAAAAAAAAAAAAAAGGGGATCCAACAGAACTCCACGGGTGTAGAGAGCAGCAGCAGGAGAGGCACAGTGCATCACCATACCTGCAGTGGACCACAACTGGCCCCGCATCAGAAATGCTCTCCTGCTTATGGTGCACCTCCTCTAGAAAGTCTAGTACGCCACCAGGGTCACTCGGGACTCCATGATCAGGCCAAGTTCGGAAGTGATACTGCCAGACTGTTCTCTCTGTGTTCCCCTGGAAGGAAGATGCCAATACGTGAAAAGAAAATCCTTCGGATCAAAATCCAGCGAAAAGCATTTTTGTGGCAAAGTTGAGTCAGATGGGAAGGTGACATATCCAACCTGCTGCTCGGTACCCACGGCACCACAAAGTCTCTTAAAGGAGGGAACAAGCCAGAGTTCCTCCTGGCCTGACAAGTCAATCTCCTGCTCCCTCAGCTCCCTCTTTCACATGCAGTTGTTTCCAAGAACATTTCCACCCTCGCCTTTAGAAGCCACGGCAAAGTTCTGCCTGAGGGTGACCAACCACGAGGGACCTTCACCTGCCATACTCGTCATTCACACCGAGGGGCACTTACCTTACGCGCTTCTCCCGCTCAGTCCTATCCCAAACTAATCCACCCTGCTTATTTCCTCCTTACACAATCCTTTCTGCACCCTGTTCCAAACTGTTCCTTGACAAGCAAGTGCTGTTTCCACATTAGTTCACTGTTTCCTTCTTCATCTTTTGTACTCCTTCCCTTAAGGTTCTCTCTATACACTGGACCACACACAATCATTTCCCCCTCACGCCACCACCTCCCTGCAAGGGAGCAAACGCCTAGCTAGACTGAAGTGCGATCACTTAAAAGCATCGTCCCTCTTTCCAGATTTCCTCAACGCTCTGCAGCTGTGCACCTTCTGCCAAAAAGTGCTTAGGTGTAAGTATCTCCAATTATCCCAAGGACAAAGAGAAAGAAGTATGGAACTAAACCTGGAGCTTCTAAGAAAGGACAGCGCTCCATTTATTAATCTCTTAGTGCTTTTATTGATTCCAAAGAAAGTCTATTTGGGCACACTTTTTTGTGATCTGCAACCTAAAGTAAAAGGACAGAGTTACTAACAGACTTACCTGCCCAACTTTAGAAAGCTTAAGTTCTCTTAGCGTGTAATCATGTGCTGCACTCTCCTTAACATTCCTAACACGCATAACACCATACTCCTTTAGTGAATATTCATCAGGCCAGTACTTGACGCACTTACTCTGTAAGATTAAAAAAAAAAAAAATTGAAAAAAAAAGTATCAGTAAGAAGAAAGGCTGGTTCATAAACCAGTTAACAAGCACATTTCGGAAGCTTTCATTTCTGAATACACAGAGGACAATTACTAGCACCGATGGGACAGTTTAGGGAGAAGTTTCTCTTCCCCACAACGTTTTGCCTTGATAGTTTCAAAACCCAGAGATTAAAATACTGTGACTTTTATCTCCACCCAGCTACAGGTTTCAAAAGACTGAGAATTTCCAGTGGAATGCTGTAGCCTGACAGGCTGTTCTACAACCAAAACCAAAGGCTGCAAGATAAACACAAGTCAAAGGTATAAGCCTTTTTTAGCAGAGATGAAGGCTGGACGCTTGCTTTTCCATCACTCAGAGCAGAAAGGGCTAACGTAGCTCTCTAATTCAATCACCAAGGCAACAAAGAATTGCTCCCTGCGGCAGGGGACGGAAGCCTCATGTGTCTGCAGCTTTTCAAATTTAGAGCCTTTGGTGTGAGGCTCTTCTCTCATCTTCGGTCATCCAGCGATATTCCAGCCACTGAAGAACGGGCTCCCCTGTCTCTGCTCTGATTTGGTTCCTGTGACAGTTCAGGAAGAGACTCTGAACACAACACGAGTCCACACCGTATGGGATGAGAAATGACAGCGCATAGAGAGACGCAGCTCCCAGCAACAGCAAACGCAGACCAAACACCGAGTACGACGGAGAAATGTTTCTTCTTCGCACTTACTACTGCGTATTTATGAGGAGACATGGCAACAAGAAAGCTCCTTCTGCCAACACAAGAATCAGAGATGATGGAACACATGCTTTCCAGCCTAAGTTTAGGCAACAAGATGCTTTTTTGTTACTTTGGCCCTTCTTTCCCTGACATCTCCAACAAAGCACAAGCTAAAGAAAAGATGCTGATCTTAGCGTACGCCAACATAAAGTGCAGTTTTGATACCGAACTCTGAACGCAAAAGCAGTTGGTGCAGCAAGTCTGAACAGTTATACCCAGTGTTAAAATAAGCTTGAGTCTGATAGAGGTGGTGCATGTATTATCAGCTCAACAGACTGCCTCCAAAACACCACGATTTTAATTTGTAAGTATGTGCTGCTCCTGCAGTGCATTCTACAGCATGTTCAGAACTCTATGCAAGTCTGTGACGTTTCACAGTTCCTCACTTCTTCAGGCAACGTGCTCTTGAAGTCATCTCTGGTGCAGAGGTTTCCCTCCTTTCTGCAGATCTGAAAGTATCTTGGCCAGAGATAAAAAAGCTTTTATATCACGATTGTTATTTGTGATTCTTGAAGAAGAGAAATAGGCATCAAGAAAAGAAAAGGAAAAAAAAAAAGGAAAAAAAAAAAAATCAACGCATGCAGCACTTATTAAGTAACCAGACATTAGAATGTTCTATACAGCCAGAGCACTGAAAATAGGCTTAGCAAAATTTGGAAAGAATCATGTAGAAACTGCAGAGGAGCACAGGCCATTCAGTAGGCGATTAAAAAAAAAAAAAAAGTATTCAGTCAACTCTTCCAAAACAACCCTATAATTAACTTCTTTTCTTTCATGAGAAAGTTCTAAAAGGAAGGTCACTGGAAAGGGGTAACTTCTCCCTCCTTCGGTGCATTCTCAGGAAGGAAACACAAATCATGTCTCTTCACAATGGTGATGAATGGGCAAAAGTTTACAAAGCCTAAAAAAATCCACAAGACAGAGTCTAATGGTTTCTACAAACACCACCAATGGCAGCTTTGATACCTAGATTAGGAAGAGAAGCCTACAAAATCTACTGCAATTTGTCTTCAGTACATACACACAAAGCCTCTTTTTTTGTGGCAGCGGTAAGGAACCTCCACAATTATCAGTCACCCACAGAAAACCATTAGCTATACTTCCAATTCCATTTTTTCCAAAGTGACAACTCATCTAACAAGATAACAGCTTTCCATTCAGAAACAGATCATTGGCTTATTGAAAGAGGTGGACAATGGCATGTGGAAAAAGCAGAGAAACTTT